CACACCCCCCACACCCCCCACACCCCCCACACCCACCCTGTACCCCTCCTCCCTCCTCCTCCCTCCTCCTCCTCCTCCCTCTTCCCTGCTGCCTCCTCCCTCTTCCTTCGTCGTCCCTAAATCATGCTTTTCAGAAGTGCCACCCCTGAATAGGCCCAAGTGGAATGTTTTTCTTGTGCTTTTTTTACTGGGTAGTTTTATTTAAATCCCATTATTTAATCGTTAATGGGGAGAGGACCGACTCAATATATATATATATATATATATATATGTTTCTGACTGTAAAGGTCTATAAGTGAGAGCGGAGCGCGGCTTTGGTGTCCCGAAGGCCCGGCCTTCCTCCTGAACTCCTCGCAGCAGTCAGCAAAGGCCGGCGCATGATGGAGAACCTCATGAATTCGTTTTTTTTCAAATCTGCAATGGCCTTTTCGTGCGAGCCAGTCTGCCTCTTTCGAGGCCTACACTAAAGAAGGACCCAGCTTGAAGCCTGAATTCGGGTTTAGGGATTAGGGTTTAGGGGTTCGAATCCAAAGCGCATCGGTTTGATTCTCTCGGTGCATGGTTTGGTGATCGTTTGATTTAGGTCTGTCGTTTCTTGTAGCTGGTTTTCTGTGAGAAGGAGGGTGATTAGGGTCGGGGTCTTGGAGGTCTACGATTTCTTATGGTTGCATAAGATGTCGTATAGGGTTTTGTATGGGTGCTGTATGGTGCGTAGGTTCTGCGCGAGCTCACGAGTTATACTTTCTCCATTGGGGTTTGGGGTTGGGGGGGTTCCGACTCAAGAGCGGGGTTTCGGGATTTGACATGTACGCTTAAAACAAAACTGATGTTATTACAACAACAGTCGTATATAACCGACACAATCCTGCTCCTATCACGGCTCTGCCTATGATAATGGTGATAAGTCGACCGCATTGACAATGACGAGAACCGAAACCATAATGAAGCACAACAGCAAAACCCAACGAGAGCAACAGCAGTTCTGAAAGTGCTCCGAGTAGGGCAAGTTAGCATCGACGGTAAAAGCAATGGTGACCAAACGCCTAGAATCTTCTCCACACGCTAGCACTAGGATGACAATAGCACAGTACCACTAGACCCTAACCTTGTTCCTCTCTTGCATACTTCAACATCTGTGCCATATTGGCCTAACATTAGCATCCAGGCAAAAAGGCCGTCAGAGGGCTATCCTGGCCGAGGAGCATTGTCCACCTGAGACTCCAGATAGTTGACCTGACTTGCCCAAGTCTTCTGTGTGATTGGGACCTGGAGAGAGAGCGAGAGAGGAAGCAAAAGAGCGAGAGAGAGACAGAGGTGGAGAGGGAGAATGTGAGACAGAAAGAAAGAGAGAAAAAGAGGAAAGAAGAAACGAGACCGAGAGAGAGATCTAAAGAAACAATGAAATGAAGGAACGAACGAAACAAAGAGTGAAGGCCAGAAAGAAATAATAAGAGACTGAAAGATGAAAAGCTGATAGATAGATGCCAGATGTTACGCACATGCACACACATATATCCGCAAAGTATTCCCGAAGGGAAGCAAGGCACACAACAGGCCGCGGCGAAGGATCGTCCTGAAAGGAATTTGCTGCACGCCCCCCTGCCGAGATGCATACCGTGTCCTCTGCCGCAAGACTGGAATCTACAACACGGTCTCGCCCCCAAACCCCAAACCCTAAACCCCTAAACCAAAACATGAGAGACTCTCTCCCGCTCTCTCTTCTTCTAAGACCTTTGCAGTCAAGTTGTCGAAGTGCTCGGCCTCAAGGGTGTCGGGGCGTCAAACAAATTAAAAATGCACAAGAGCAGGTTTGGAGGTTTAGGGCTTAGGGGTTTGAGATCTTGGAGATTGAGTTCGGGGCTTGCGTGTCGTCCGGTCTGGGGTTTCGGATTTCCAGAGCTTACTTCCGGGCAAGCTCTAACTTCCCTGCCCAGTCGCGCCTCTGAGGGGAATTGTGCCAAACCGCGAAGCAAGACTTGGCGACTAAGAACCTGGCATCGCGCAGCCAGGGACAAGCTACATTTCCATTATACCTCCATGATGACAACAGCAGTTGCTGAGCTGGGGGTAAAACAGTCACTGCAGCAACCGCAATGAAAACCATGATGATAACAACACAAGCAACGGTAATTAGTAGGAATTGTTTAGCAAGGTAACTTTAGCCATACCTCACCTGCAGCTATCAAAGTTCCGTGGGGCAAGGTCCCGCTCGAAGCTGGGACAGCTCCCCTCCATGCCCAACTCAACTCTACAACTGGGTTCCTCTTTGAGGCGTTGAGATGCCACAGTCTTTTGTTTTCCTCAACAGTATGCTTTACACATCTTTAAACCAATACATCACGAAGTGTTTAAAGAACGGCCCGAGACAAAGGGACTCGGCCTGGACGAGAGACATCTCAAGGCTGACTGCAGTGGCCACCGCTCCCTCGGACCTCAGTAGCCGAAGCCAAGAGCACTAAGAACCCTAATTTTGGGGGCCTTAATAATAAGAATAGGGTTTGGGGGTCCCTTATAGTATAATTTTGATAAGGAACCCACCAAAATGATATAGGTAATTATTGAGGCCCCTGTATTACATCCTAAGGGTCCGAAGTCGGAATCTTGATGCCCTAAATCAGTTTAGGGTTTAGGATGGTTGAGCCCTAACAAGAAGAGAAGTCGAGGGCCCGACACGCCCAAGAGATGCGAGTCGCCGAAGAAAGAGCCACGGGAGAAGGTCTCCTCAAGGCTTGAATTTCTGTTTTTTCTCCTAGCGCACCTGACACGGCTGTTGCCGAATGGGTCATGTTGACGGCGCCATTGAGTCGGAATAACTTAGGGACATCTGGGAATGCAAGAACTGCCATATCGATCGCCAGGAAGGCACCGAAAGCAACGGCAAATTGCAAACAGAAAAACATGAACTTGCAACAATCATAGTACGAACATCGATGGGATGCAGAAATGAAAAAGTGAATCTCTTAGAATGGGCGTGTCTGCTTCTGGAGGCATCCGGGGCTCTCTTTCTAGACTGCCCTGCACCTCATTCGCGCCATCACCGACTTTTTGCACAGCTACCGCGATTCTTATTTTCGATCGGTATCCCTATAGTCACTCCCCATCCACGGGGCTTGGACATCGACTCCCAAAGGACCGGAAACCGACGAAGAGCTGAGCCCCGTGCCGGCTGCTTCTTCTCCAGGCAAATGCTGCCCTCCAGCTTGGGGGGAAGTTGGTTTACGGTTTAGGGTTTAGGGTTTAGGTTAGGGTTCAGAGGCTTAGGGCTTATATAGTGGCTTTTGGTGCTTTGTGGGTTCAGGGTTTGGGGTTTGTGCTCTGAGGTTTGGAATTTGGGGCTCAGGATTTTTAAGGATTTAGGGGCTTCGGGTTTGGGCTTAGGATCCGGGGCTTAGGGGCTTAAGGATTTAGGAACAGGGATCTTGAGATTTGCTACAGGGTCTAGGGTTCAAAGTTTAAGTGAAATTGGGCGATCAATCGAACAATGCCACAAAAAGACCAGGAAGAACGGACGTCTTGGGGGTGCGCATCCGGGCGTTCCTTGCAGACGATGTACAGGTTCTCTGTCTTCTCGCCCTCTCCTCAAGGATGCAGGGTTTAGGGTTCAGGAGCTTAAACAGTACCGATATGGTCAGTGGGTATGGAATCACAGTTTCACTCGCACCTATGCCCTCAGCCCAAAATACCCGGCGTGCCGTGGCTTCTCCAAAACAGTGCTGGTCCGACGTTAGTCCTTGCTTATGGACTTTTCGTAGGAGAATTCTACGTAGGACGGGAGCAGCCCATCCGCTTCACTTAGGAAGAATCTTAGAGTACACACCGAAATAGGAAGGGCGAAGATACTTCAGCCGGGCTGCCGAAGAGCGTGTCATCTGAGAAGACGATCCTGGATGCAGTCTCAATGCGCAATCCCGGATTTTCACATCTACGGATTTGTTGAAAGTAGTCCTCAAAAACCGCAAGCCATACACTCTAACCCAAGTTTCCAAGCGCACATTGAACCCCTTCAAGCCCTTTTTCGACTTCCTTTCAACCCTTTCAATCCCCCTTCAAAGTCCCCAAACATGTCTAGCTGCCTCACGCCACTGAACTCTCGAAGACCCTAAACCCCAAACATGAAAACCCCAAATCCCCAACACCCACCTACCTACCTACCGACCTACCTACCTACCTACCTACCTACCTACCTAACTTAACATTAAACCCCAAGAGGCACCTCGGCTCCAGGTTTTCCTGGATCCAATGCAGGAACTCGCTGGAAAGCCCGTTGAAGATCGACAGCTGTGCCTGGGTTACAGGATTTGAAGGGTCTCAGGGCTTCAGGGCTTTGGGATTCAGGGCTTTAGGGNNGAAGTGTCATATAGGGGGGGGGGGGGTGTTTATGGGGTGTAATTTGGGGGGCCTTATGGTTAGCTGTCAGCGGTCAGCATGCTGTGCAGTCTTCTGAGTTGCTTCATATTTCAAAAAGTGTCTAGTTTATGAGTTTTAGGGGCTTGGAGGGGTTCGGGGGTTTTCAAGGTTCTTCAGGAGTCCTGCTGGCTGTAGCAGGAGCCTGCGAGGGTTTCGGTGCTTTAGGGTTTACTGTTGAGTAGTCATCCGGGTTCAGGGTGTTTGAAGTTCAGGGCTTAGAGCTTTAGAGTCGAGGGGTTTGGGGCTGTCGGGCTTTAGTGTGTCAAGGTTTTACCAATAAGTAGGCCTTCAGGGCTGTAGACTTTTGGGTTTTTCTTAAGTTTCAAGGTTTTGGGGAGTGCACACAGCCTCACAGTAAAAGACATACAGCAATACGATGTATAGCATTGATAGCAATGGCAACACAGTGACAATGAAACTGCAAGACTGACAATGATAAGCATGATTACAAGGATCAGGATCGGGATGCGGATGACGCGATGATGATGACGATGGTGAAGCTGATAATGGAGGTGATGAGAATTATCTCTTCGCCTCACTTCTTCTGTGCAGCTTGGAGGCCAAGTCGACCGGGGAATTCGGATCTTCTTCCAAGGCTTTCAGTTTGGCCTTGCTACCTGAAGAGCAAAGTTCAGTGACAGTGCTGTCTCCAGAGAAGGCTCGCCTACCACCTGACTTCATCCAACATCCTTCCCGTCTCTGTAACGCGGTAAGCTGCGCACCTAGGAGGCCACGAAGGCCCTGGTTGGCTCGCGGTGATGTCATCGGGGATGGCTCGGCAGTTGTTGGAACAGTCGCGTCGTCGTCCTGCGACTGCAAAGGAGCCCAAATCAAAGAGCTCTGACCTCTGGAAAACCATGCAGAGCCGCGACAGTACTGGACTTGGACAAGCTGCCAAGACATGGGCGATAGAACCCTTAAAGCAGAAACCCTAAACCTCTAAAACACTCTCAGCTCCCACAGGTGGGCCTGCGTTTCTGACTGCCCGGTAAGCCTGGCAGCTTTCTTCTTGTCATGGCTCGTATGCTCGCTGCTGAGAATGGCGGCTTCCTTAAACTTATTACTTATCATGTCTATCATTACTGGTGCTGTCAGAATCGTGATTATTCTTCTTGCCATCATCACAGTCGGTAGCAGCAGCAGGATCACGAATTGATTTCGCAGTTTGCGGCTTAGTGCCTAGGGGCTTGGACGCCTATGGATTCTCGGATTGGTTTTAGGGGACTTGGACGTGTTTCTGGGATTGCGATCTGGGACATGATAGGCTTCGAACTAGGGTTCGGGTCTAGGAGGTCGGGTAAAGGCGGGTACAGGGCCTGGGTCTGCTTGGTCTGAATTCAACTCCCTTTCGGAACAAACTTTTGCCGAAGCCACTTCGCCACCGGCATTGCGGTCAACAGCCCGAGGATGCGCTTCATGGCGGGATAGTGGTCCTGGGCGCTCTTCGCTACAATCAATTTGTCTTCGCATCCCCAGCTTGATTTGGACAGAAGTCGATGCGGCATGAACAGAGATACCCTACAGCCTGAGCTCAACGCTAAAGATGTCATCAGCACCGTGCGAGGCAGCACCCAAACTTCGCTCACACGGACGCACCTTAGCAGTTCATGGGTCGCATGACATCCCAAGACCTACTACCTGCAAGTAGCTGTGACCACACCGCGGACATGTTCGTCCACGGCACAAGGTCTCGTAGGCGGGGATGAAGGGACCAGCTGACAACGCAAGGATGTGCAGTGCCTGTGGCATCAGAACTTTTTTGTAATCCGAAAGAACGGCTTCGGACAAACCAGAAAAGCCGAGTATATTCCCACGAAGAAGATGTTTGAGAGAAAGCTGTGCAGAGAAACAGAGAGAGAGAGAGAGAGCGAGAGAGAGCGAGAGAGACAGAGACACAGAGCAAGAGAGGGCACCTGAACACTGAATTCTGTAATTACCCGGAACGCTGAACTGCGAACCCTAAGGAAGCCTGCCTGGCCGTGGCGGTAGGTGCCCTGTCCAGTATTTGCCCGGATTTGCACGACTTAGACGATACTGTAAGTGGACATACTGATATATATATATATATATATATATAGGTAAAGACATCATGCATGCAACAATACTTGAGTAGCGCGCAGGGGTTCGACGGCGGGTTGCTTCAGCTGACACGAACCCGCAAGCTGAAAGCCCCCTGCTCCAGAGAAGTGTCTCCATAATGCCCAACGATTTCCCTGAAACCCTAAACCCCAGCGGCACTCGGAGCTTCAGACAGATAGAGCCTAAACAACAGAAATCCTGACCCACACAACCGGAAACAGGGCCCTGATGTCCACAACCCAATTTGATGACAGTTTCGCAGCCAAGAAGCCAGAGTGACACCTGCCATTCTGATGCAAACCTCTCCACGAAGAACAACCTCAAGTGGCAGCGCGCACAGCAGCAACCCTAAATCCTCTGAGCTGAAGCCAAACCTGGTTAAGCCCTAAACCACAACCTAAACACCCTAAGCCCCCTAAACCCTAAAAAGCCTCAGACAAATGCCCTGGCCAAAATCCAAAAAATCCTCTAAGCCAAAGGCCTAGAATCCTAGAAGGCCCCGTCTTCCTCTTCGACTCGAAGCCTCTGAAGCCAAGAGGCGAAGCACGCTTCCGAGCGACACTTCGGTGGGCAAATCTGCTGGCCCTCCATGTAGAAGCCTAGGTTAGTTGGGCTTCTGTGGGATTTTATGAGGACTTAAACTAAGGTTGTTGAAAAGGTGCTCAGGGTGTTCATCTAGAAGCCTCTCAGGCTTTAGAGTTTGAGGCTTCAGGTTTGGAGTCCTGTGAGCTTCTTTCGGGAGAAGAGTTTTGGCCGAAACGCTTCTGAGTTTGGCAAGCTCAGAGGTCTGCATGCCGACTCGTGCATCTACCCATGAACATACATACATACATACATACATACATACATACATACATGCATGCATGCATACATACATACATGCATACATACATACATACATACATACATACATATAATATATATATATATAGAGAGAGAGAGAAAGAAAGATAAGTAGATTAGATAGGTAGATAGATAGATAGATAGATAGATAGACAGATAGATAGATAGATAGCTAGATAGATAGCTAGATAGATCGATAGATAGATAGATGGATAGATAGATAGATAGGTAGATAGGTAGGTAGATAGATAGATAGATAGATAGGTCGCTTGGTAGATACGTAGATAGATAGGTAGGTAGATAGGTAGATAGGTAGATAGGTAGATAGATGGATGGGTAGATAGATGGATGGATGGATGGATGGATGGATGGATGGATGGATGGATGGATAGGTAGATGGGTAAGCAGACAGATATAGATAGTGAATGTTAATGTACGGAGAGAGAGAGAGAGAGACAGAGAGAGAGAGAGAGAGAGACAGAGAGAGAGACAGAGAGAGAGACAGAGAGAGAGACAGAGAGAAAGAGAGAGAGAGAGAGACAGAGAGAGAGAGAGAGAGACAGAGAGAGAGACAGAGAGAGAGGCAGAGAGAAAGAGAGAGAGAGAGAGGGAGAGAGAGAGAGAGAGCGAGCGAGAGAGAGAGAGAGAGAAAGAGAGCATATCTGTATAATGCACATTGTCCGCACAGTACGCGCATGTAAGTCTGTAACTATGTGTGTGAGTCACAGGATGCTCAGTTTCTCTCCGAGTCGCGTCGGATTCCGCCACGCAGAAGTGAGCTCATGAAGGCCTGGCAACTTGCCGAGCGATAGTAGTGGTAGTGGTGTAGTAGTAGCAGTAGTAGTAGGTGTTGTTGTTGCTGTCTGTGGCAGCAGTAGGAGTAGCAGTAACAGTAACAGTAGAAGCAGCAGCAGCAGCAGCAGCAGAAGTAGCGGCAGCTGTAGCGATAGTAGAGTGGGACTGGGAGTAGCAGGAGTCAGAGTGAGAGTAGGAGTAGGAGGAGGAGTGGCAATAGCAGCAGCAGCAGCAGCAGCAGTGATTCTACGAGTACAGTAGACTTCTTCGCTTGCAAAGGGAGTACAGTGTACAGCAACCCTTTCGGCAACCCTGATAGTAATCCCTCACTGCAGCCCTCAACCATGATCGCACCCTTAGATGCGATGTCCTGCCTCATCCAGGCCTCTGAGCAGCGGCAGGCACGTCTCCAGCATGTCAAACTCAGTGCAGAGGTTGGATAACCAGGGTTGGATAAGCGTTTCTTGAGGGTTCCACAGGGGCGGCTGGCATTTCGAACAGTAGGGTTGAATATGGAGGTCTGAAAAGTCAGTGTAAAGTACCCCCGCGAAGCGGTGCTTTGAACATTTCGGGATCTGGCACGATCTAGGCTTGAACTTGACGCTATGATCCTGTGTAGCAGAGAAGTGCAACGCTCTGCTTCCACCTGACTCAACAAGCATCGTGACTGTGTACAGAGGACGCCACGGTGGGCAGCGAGTGATCGGGGAGCGGCTCGTTCTTGTCCATGACCTAAAGCCAATAAAGCCAGCACCCAAGTGAGCGTCGTTCAGCCTCCAGGTCTCACGACATGTGCTCACATCTGCATGCTCTGTCTCGGACCTCCTCAAGCAGCTCCGACACTTCTGTTGCCTCGCGGGCATCTGAAGCTCTGTCATCGTCTCAGAGATATGCATGGCGCGGCGGAGAGGGTATGACGGGCACACAGGCAGGCCGAAAGAGTGTGCGCAGGCATCTGCATCCTGTGTGTAACTCGTCTTAGACAGACGTACCGGTTCGTAGCAGATGGAAGCATGTCCCCACCTGGATTGGCAAGTTCTGAGTGTGCAGCATGTGAAGGAAAACCTGGCTGTGGTTCTTGCAGAGACATCAGACGTGATAGTCATTGAGGCAGCAGCAACAGCAGTACTTGCGACTTCAGCTCAGCTTTACAATTCCTCGCAAAAGTCCTATCGAGAGGCACCTTTCGGTGCAGAACCGCTGCAACGCACACCGTCGAAGCAACGAACTTGCGCTCGCCTTCCTGGCAGCGGAGTGCTGCTTGAACATCTGGGGGCCATGCTCTTTCCAGACTCGAAATTGAGGGTCATACATTTTTTAACTGTCGCGAGCAGCTGTATGATCCTCTAAACCCTACACCCAAAGCCTAACCCAGATCACCGAGTCAACAGATCTTCCCGGCCTGGGGCAGGGCCAACATATGCGTTGCACCCTCGCAGGCGCCCTGGATGATGGTGCGACGAACCGTCTTTACCTGCCCGGACGAAAACATATACTGCATACTTGCATTTATTGCTGTAATCTCGTTACCCTCCTGGTTATGATTATGAACCCTGTCATTATTGCACGTCAACCGAGACAAGACCCGAAGGATTCTGCACCGCGGCACTCGCAGAGCATGGAATCGGCCCAGGCCAGCACAGATCTTTGGCCCAGATACGGGGTGTCGAACTTATTTTCCTTCCAGCACACAAAGCCCCGCCTGGAACTCTCCGTTGACCTGCAGGCACGACTGGAACTCTCCCTGAGCTTACAAGTCGATCGAACGTCCAATTCAGCAGAGGGGCGCTTCCTCTGCGCTGGAGCCTTATTGCGTTGCAGATGCAGACGGTGAGTGCTCTGCTGCATTTCATCTGCATCAGCTAGTAGGCAAGCCGCTCTGCAGAAGCCCTGCGCTTCCGCTGGATTGTCAAGAGCTCCTCGCCGCGCACTTCTCCACAACACGAGTGCAACGCGACATCGCCCCCATTCGCCCTAATCTCCTCTGCGGTGCCTCTTAACAGCAGGAAAAGCGAGCACTCTGGGCACTCCTCCTGGCCAGTCGCACCGCACATTTTCTTATCTTTCGATATATAGCGTGCAGACTGTTGGTTACGCAATCCGTCTCAGTTGCGGGACAGGACGCGGACGGAGGACACTGCATCCTACATGGACAGCCTCCGGTTCGGACTGGCACAGTTGGCACCCGGTGTTCAATGGGCCATGGGCGTGGCCTGTGACGTGGATGACCATATCTCGTTTTCAGGCAGAACGACTCGCATCCTTGGCTGAAGCACTGAAAGCTATGAACACCTCGAAAACACCTGCGCTCTGCCTACTTGCATTCCGTGGAACTGATCACACAACCCACCTATACTAGTAACACCCGCAACATAGCCCCCCCTTTAGGGGGGGGGGAGTGGGGGGGGGGTCTGAGAGGAAGTTGGGNNGTTGGGGACTCTCTGGGAGCAGTAAGCCGGCATGCCAGAGCGTTTGCAATAAAGTCCACTGGAATATGTGACGATTCTTCCTCTCTCTCTCTCTCTCTCTCGGCCGTTGCATCCAGGTGCTGAAACTGCTCGCTCGACATTCTTTTTTTCTACCCCACGACTGCGAGCTCTAGGACGTCGAACCCCAACGTCCGGGTGAGACTCGCCTTGCCCGTTAGCCCCAGATCTACATTTCAGCTGAGTGCTTCTAGATGCGGACCGCTAGTGCATGAAGCTATATGAAGCTGTGTTTGGTTTAGGGTTCTGACGGCAAGGTGACATGACTCTCGGTTGCCTTCAGCACCGTTTGAAAAAACTTCAGCAGAGCTCTCAATGCCGCAGGGCCTAGCCGGAGCAAGCAGCAACAGTGCAAACACAACAGGGGTTCGCAACAATGCCGGCCTTGTCCTGACTGTGGCACGAACGCCTTCATGGCGCTGTAGACAGTCTGGCCGAAGGCGGCGCCAACGGCATCTGAGGAGCGGGAATACCGGGACAAGTAGGTTTCAAGCACCTTTGTTAAACGATGGTTAAACGACCCAGCCTTTGTAGGTTTTCTTGAAGAAGGAAACCGCTCGATCGCACAGCTCCGACCACTGGACATGGACCTTCTCAGTCACATGGACGAGGCCATCCGGGTGTACGACATTGATGCTCATGTCCTGGAATGCCGCCTTGAGGCCGTTCCTTGGAGTAAGAGCTCTTCGCATCGTGGGTGAACCCACGAAAGCCCTAGAGAAAACGAAAGAGCAAGCAATATCAAGCAAGACACAAGAAGTCAGGCAGCTTCGTCGCCAAGTTTTTCTTGGTGAAGCTGGTCTCGTTGAACGTGTTCGCTGGGGCCACGTCGACTGCTGCATCCATTGCCGGTGCAACGGGGACCTCCTCGAGGTCTGGCAGCTTTGCATTTGGCCTCTTCAGAGCAGTCATCGCATGGACCGCGGCCGGCGACAGCTCGACCCTGAGGCGCATGCCAACCCGGTGAGCACTGGTCACCGACAGCTCTCCCAAAACACAGCCACTGGGATCCAGCATGATGGGCTGGCAGGCACTGGATGTGAAGAAGATGGAGGGTCCTTCGCCTTCGCATGACACCAGCTCGGAAGCATGCAGCATACGACAGGAGCCAGCCGGGAGAGTGGTGGAACACGGTTTTCCTGTGCGCACTGTGCTGCCGGTCTTCGTTTTGACGACACTGCCTCTGAAGGCGGCAAGGACACAACAAGGAACAACCTTTAGGTCTTTGCAGCCTGCCGCGGTGGAGGAACCTTTCAGCAGGAGGACTTGGAAAGTCGTCTTCTTGTCGAGGCTGACCGGTGGTCGAAAGGTGTCTGCCGGCCAGAGACCTTTGTCCTCTGCTGAGGCTTTGACATTGTGCGATGCCACGTGTGAACACAGCTTCATGACGGAGTTCGACCACATCGTTGATCTGGCGATTCGGACCTTGGAGCTGGATGCATTCTGTCTGGCTAGACTGATCTCGTGCTCGGCTCGATTCCAATCATTGGCCTGGCAGGTTTCCTTTTCGAGCCAAGCGAGGCTGAGAATCCCCTCTTCAAGGCGGACAAACTTGCTGAAGTGGCGGATGGGACCCGGAGATTCTCTGCAGAGCGGCATCGGATCCAGCCCCCGTCGCCTCGGTCAGATCAAAGGCTGCAGGATCCTTGAGGGCAGCGAGGGCCAGGATGTCACGTAAGGTTTTCGGCTGACCTGATCCATCCTGAGGTGCATCCTGCTCCTCCTTCTCCAATGGCAACGGCTTCGTGGTCAGATCCTCGAGCTCCTGTGTGCTGGCCTGATGCTCGCCGGTCTCCTCGTCGATGATGTCCTCCATCCTGGCAGGATCCTGCCGGCACTCTTGGAGTGTCTCGCGGAGGACGGCCTGGCTTGCCACCCTTTCGACGAGTGAGCCTGGCTCCTCAGGCTGCTCAGCTGCACAGGTGGCGAGAGACCGAAGCTCGCTGGCAGAGAGCTCCACCATATCCGAATCCAGCATAGCCAGCACGTCCAAGTCCAGTTCGCTGGCCTCGGCTTCATTGTCTGCATGGCCTTGGTTTTGTGTCAGGAGCTTCTGGCCAACAGCAGGCCACCACTGCCGGAGATGTTGATAGAGGTCCTCGACCGTGGTGTCGATCTGGATGTAGGCTTGAAAGGCCAATGCAAGGGCTCGTTTGCCAGCCTCTTGAAGTTCCAGGTCGGAGACGGCATCGCGGCACTGGCTGGTCTTCTGCATGTTGAGGGCCCGCGACGTCCATGCCTCGAAGACGTTGCTCCTGACGGGCTGTCTCCACCGCTTGGGCAAAGAGGTAGTCCCTGATGGACGGTGAACCAGAGCAATGCCGTTTCAACCGTCCGAAGTGGAACTCGATCGGGAGTTCCTGAAGCAGCCTCGGCTCGAAGCTGGACCGGCAGGACATGAGGCAGTGGGAGGCGAGGCTGCAGATATTGCGAACGGTGGTCGGGGCCAGACTGAAAGATTCCCAATCTTCCAAAAACCTCGCACGGTTGCACATCAGGTGAAGGAGCATCATGTAGTGAAGGCAGAGGCTATGCTCGGCCAGCTGAAGCTTCGAGAAGGCTGGGCTGGCCGAGCTGACACAGGCGATGAACGACCCGATGAGGATATGCAGCTGGCAGCCGGCACAGTCCCATGCTCTGGGCGTAAACGTGGGGGACAGTCTGGCGACTGCCGCCCGGTCGCTCTGAGTCTCTGCACACCCATGCGTGCGAGCTCCTATCCCCGCCCTCATCTGTCCCGAAAGACACGTCCAGACACATCCATGGACAATGAAGCGCACTCCAGCACAGCCCTGCAGAGAGAACCGCTTCTGGGCATGATAACCATCAATGAAGGCCTGCATTGGGAAGCTGGACTTGTGATTTTCCGCCTGGTAGATCAGCTGGCCGAATGGCCAGAATCGCAAGTCTGGCACCTTGTCGATGCGGCAGCTTCCAAAGAATGGCATGTTTGCGAAGTCGGTCTCGGACAGGAGTCCGCTGAAGGCTCGACAGATCTTCGAATTCACTGTTGCCCCATCGAAGGCCACCCCCAGAGGGGGGGTCCCTCCATTGCAGGTTGTCGCAGACAGCAGGAATGATCCAGGAGATGAAGCATTTCCACGGACGATGCTTGTCCCTGCTTCCTTGGGATTGTGCATGCATCGAACACAAACCTGTTGTTGTCGGGCCGCTTGAGACAGAGATGAAGTGTCAGGCGGGCTTTCTTCTCCTCGGGAAGATCTGCTGCAGAATAGTCAGCGGTCCTCAAATAGGACCAATCGTCCTGCGGGTCCCATTGGCCACCAACCCAAGCATTCTCCTTCTGGCCAGACGGTGTGACACGCAGAGAAGATACTTGTTCCCAGTTCGGACACCAAACAGTCTCGTCGACGAGCACGTAGCTTCTCTGTCCGCAGAGGCGCAGGGCACTCAAGCACCGTTGGATGGTCTGCTGCAACTCCTGGTCTGTCCGTAGAGAGACCCATGGGTTCGGGAGGATGGGCGACTCTAGCGGTGCCCTGGGTACTGCATCCATGTTGATGCCAAACCTCTCCAGCAGCTCGTCCACCTCGCCTCGGCGCCCGAGAACCGCCAAGGCTTCCCCCACCGCTTCCAGATCCACGTGACGGCTGCTGGTTCTGCGGCCATGCTCCTCGCACCGAGGTGTGCTGTGAAAAGGAATGATGCTGTGATGGATTGCAACAATGCGTCCTGTCGCAATTGGCCTGTTGCGATCTTAGCCGCCAGCTGTAAGTCGAGAGCCCGGACGGTGCCCTGTGCCACGCCTCGGGCGAGGCTTGAAGCCAGTGCTCCGTGAGCAGCAGCCTCGGAGCTATCGGCACAGAACATGTGAGGCTGCACGAGATAACTGTCCAAGAACTTCTGGAAGGACTCACTGCGCCGATGCGAGGGAACACAAATCGCCCGGCGACAGATCGCGCGGACGATGTCCAGCTTATCCTGGCCACCCTGGAGGAGCTCCTGCAGGTTCGCCCCAGCGAGTCCAGCAGCCACGTAGTCTGCTCGCTGCATGGCCGTGGCAAATTCCATGGACTCCTTCTCGCTGCAGTGGAAAAGCTTCCACGAGAGGACGATGAGGTCGATGAAGTAGGCCTTCTTCGCGATGTGGGCTCGGAAGGATGGCAGCGTGGATGCTCGGCGGCACACCTTGCAGCTCAACAAACCTTGGCCATCGGAAAGGAAGCCGAGACAGGCATTGCTCCGCACACGTACAACAGAGCCATCCAGAGTCAGAGTGACCTCGCCCAGCGGATCCTTCTCGCTGCCCTTGAAGACCGTGCGGGGCTGGCCATAGAACATAAAGGTCTGCAGGCTCTTCTTCAAGTCCACCAAAGCAGCATCCTCTGTCGACACACCTGTGCACTCTGCCCTGCCTGGGACTGGGACTACGGCAGATGCTGCCGCATCTGCACCTTGATCCTCCAGCGCCGAATCAGGGGCGGCCTTGGAAGGCTGCTGAGCTTTCAGCTTCTGGAGGCCGACGATGTGACAGGCGTAGCGCTCATGGCCAGCTTTGCCTGTCATCTTAGAGAGACTGCTCTGACTCCAGAACCTCACTTCCTTTTGGCAGGCGTGACAATAGTACTGGTCAAGCTGTACACGCCCCTCCGCTGGCTGCGGATGAAGCGATGGATGTCGCTGCCAGCGACAAGCACCGTGCCGCCCTTCGGTCTCCCCTTGGGAGCTGGCTTGAAAACGATGGGATCCTCGTCGGGGTCGTCTGCTACCACGATGGCCTGAGCAGCCTTGCCCTGGTTTGCTGAGTCCTCTTCT